CACAGCACAGTGGAAAACAATCGAGAGTCAAGCGTGCAAGTTCTCTAGCTTAGTTCCTCCCCAGCAGATGTGTGTGGGCAAATCAAGAAGAGCACCAAGAGCTACTCTGGGGCAAGATGTTCTAGCTAAGACTTCAGAATGTTCCAGCCAACAGCTCAGGCTTGCTCAAGATGCCTTGGGGGCCCATGCAGGGCCCTACATGAGGCCAGTTCTGCTTTCAAGCCCTTGGGTTCAGCCCACTGACACCTACATACACCAGCAGGGCCATTTGTACAGGGTCCACTTTCCCAAGTGCTGCAGTTGGTGAGGGGCAGGGATAACTCTCCTGCTCTTATAACAAGGCTCTACTCAGTGCCATGGGGGAGGGCAGTCTTTCTTGATCACACCCACACCACTCTATGACTGATGAAGAGCAGGGCTAGATCTTCCAAGCACAGGTTCTCACACCCAGGTCAACATCTCAACCCAGGTGAGGTGCAGGGCCTGATTTCCCAAGTGCTGCAGCTAGTAGTGGGGAGGGTCAGCTCCCTCACCTGCCACAGATGGCAGGAGGGCATCTTTCCTCGCCCTCACCGCCACATGGCAGACAAGGGGAGCAGGGCCAGCTATCCCACTCTCATGCCTGATGGGGAAAGTCCTTTTATACATATGTTTCTCTTATTGGTTGATGAATAAAACACTGTTGGCCAGTAAGGCAAGAAGATAGGCAGGACCAGGAGATGAGAATTCTGGGAAAGGTAGGCAGAGAAAGCCTACCAGAGACAGTCGCCAGGTAGGAGACCAAAGAAGTATCAGGTCTGGTCCCTTCTCACGTAATATAAAACCAAGTGGAAATACTTGGATTAATAGAAATGGCATAATAAAGACAGAGCTAGCCAGTAAGAAGCCCAAGCCACTGTCAAAGAGTTTTTATTATAATTAATATACGTCTTTGTGTGTTTATTTGGGGCTGAAGGGTGGTGGAACCCATGCGGACAAGAACCTCTGCAACACATGCCCTCAGGGCCAGCTCAACCCTGACAACAGAGTCAGCTTTACTGTGCTGCCTAGGTGACTTGCAGGACCTGCTTTCCTGAGTGTAGCAGTTGGTAAACGGGAGGGGGACCAGCCCCTCCCCCCCCCAGTAGGTAGTCAGGAGCAAGGCTTCTTTGTGTTCTTAAAAGTACAATTTAAAAAGATAGACACAAAGGAACTACAGCAACACCCTCTTTTTGGACTGGTGGAATGGTGTTCTGTTGCCATGGGTTCATTTCATTTTTCTGGAAGGCAAAGTGTTGGAGTGCCACCAGAGTTGATGGGCTGTCCACAGCTCCTGGGACCCCAGGCCAGCTGGTTCTGGAGCTCAGGCAGCATCTTTTCTCTTAGGAGGTTTTCTTCTTGTGGCTGAGAATGTGTAATCAGCTGGAACACTGGCCAAAGCCAGGTACAAGACAGTTGTGATACACCGAGTCAAGGGCATGATGCAGCTCTTGGAAGTAACTCTGCATATGTCGTCTTCTGGGGAGATGGGGGCCACCCAGATGCCAGGCTCACAGTGACTGCCACGTAGCTAAGAGGCACCCACAGCTCTGAGTTGCACAGAAAGGTCCTAGGAATGAAAGTAGCCTGATGTTGCCTTCTTCTAACTCAGCCTGGTGCTGTGGGCCATGACTCTGGAGCCCAGAATCTGGGTTAGGTCCACAGGGCGAGCCTCCATTGACCTGTTTGTTGTTTCCTTCTGGATTGTCTTGAATATATATGTGAAAACAGCAGCTGGGGCATAATGATGTTTCTTTTTTAAGCTCTTCTGAATGCCCTGTTGAGCTGTTTAGAGAAGCAAGCTGTGTGTTGCTTGTTCTCAGTGCCATGACCTTCAACCCCTCTCTTTAGGACATGCGAATCACTTCCATTTTTATTAAAAACTTCTTTTTGTAATTCCCAAAGTCTGGACAGAATTAGGGTGTCAGAAGGTTCAGAGTTTACACTGAACTACATTGTACTTGCAGGCCCAAGCATCTGTTCATTTCTGTGGGAATGATTTGGAGAACCTGAGGGGACTGGTGTAGAGGCAAGGGCTTTGCACCCACATGAGTGGACTTTCATGTAGGGCCATGTGCCTCTACCACCAGCCACATGTATTGACTGTACTCAGGTAAACACACACATTGTACACATGTTCTTTCCCAGAACCTCTCCTTGTCCGATTTGATGACTTCCAGAGTTGTCATTCAGTGTTCCAACAATTCTATTTGTCTCTTACATTTTGGCTTCTGGGAAGGTGTTTGCTATAATCCACCATCCCTGGGGCGGGGATTGTGGGGTGGGGGATGTGCTGTCCATGCCCTGGGAAGGGTTGGGTCAGTTGTAGTGGCTTGGTTCCAGAAAGACTTCCTGTATGATCAGCTACAAAAGCATAGGCTGCTGGTAGCCATTTTCTTTCTTCCAATTCGGCACTCAGTTTTGAAGACAAAGTTTGGATTAGGTAGCATCTGACACCACAGCCACTCTTCTGCAGACCCAGAAAGTGCCCAGTGAGAGCAAAGCTGGGGACGGGACGGGTGTTCCTGCCTTGGCAGGCATGAGAGATGAATGCGGGATCCCCAGGTGGATGAAAGTCAAGTGTGTCAGGACACAAGCTCGGCCGCTGTGCAGACACCTCGGGCTGGTGTGGTTGATGAAGGACAAGTGATCTCTCCTTGGGTGTGCTGGAAGGTGGGAAGGAGAAAGAATCCCCCCTCCCTCATGAATAAAAGGCTGCACTCCTGCCTCCCTCCTTCACATCTGGACCTGCTAACCTCGTGGGCTGTCCCAGCAGGGGCCAGTGCTGCTGCTCCTCCCCCACCCCCTCTGCACAGCTGGCATCTTTCTTTACTTGTGTCCCTCTTTTGCTTAGCTCCCCTCAGCTAGAGGACAAAGGCTGCCTGCTGGCTCTGCTGTCCTCCAGGGCGGCTGGGTGAAAAAGACTCACCTCTAAGCTCACTCACGTGGGTGGTGCCTCACCTCGTGCATTCATCTTTTGCCTCCCAATAGGGAGTCAGACCAAGGCAGAGATGGCCATTTTTGTTACTAGACCTGAGAAGGATAGGATGCTACTTCTGCTGTATCCTTAATGGCCACGTGAGCAACCCTGGGGAGGTGTGGCTGGGGACTGTGGAAGGATATGATGATCCCTGGAAGCTGGGGAGGCTGCTACATTTTCAGGGAAGAAAGGGACCTGAATCCAAAGGGGAACTGAGGTTTATTTTCTCCTTTTAAAAACATTTATTTAATGAATTTGTTGGCGCATTCATCCATTTTGTGTTTTTGAGTTGTATGCGCATATATGTAGGGATGCATGCTTCTGTGAGCACTGGGAGGCTAGAGGACAGTGTTGGTAGGTGTCCTTCCCTGACACCCCTGCCTTACTGCTTTTGATATAGCACTCAGGGCTCATATTTTTCCACTAGGATGGCAGCCAGCAACATCCTGTCTCTGCCCCCCCCCCCCAGGTGAAGCACGGACATGCAGGGCCACACCCAGCTTGTTGCATGGGTGCTAGGAATTGTTGCATGGGTCCTAATGCTGGTAGCACTTTCTCCTCTGTCCCAATGGAGACACATACACTGTACTGGTTGGTTTTGTATGTCAACTTTAGAGTCATCAGAGAAGAAGGAGCCTTAGTTGAGGAAGTGCCTCCATGAGATACAGCTGTAAGGCATTTTCTCGTTTAGTGATTAATGGGGGGGTGGAGGAAGCCCATTGTGGGTGGTGCCTTCCCTGGGCTGGTGGTCTTGGATTCTATAAGAAGGTGGGCTGAGCAAGCCTATGGGAAGCAAGCCAGTAAGCAGCTCCCTTCATCCATGGCTTCTGCATCAGCTTCTGCCTTCAGGTTCCTGCCCAGTGTGAGTTCCTGTTCTGACTTCCTTTAGTGATCGACAATGCTGAAGTGTAAGCCAAATAAACCCTTTCCTCCCCAACTGGCTTGTTGGTCATGGTGTCTCATTGCAGCAATAGAAACCCTAACTAAGACACACACACGCACATATACTCAATTTAATATTGGCATATGCTGTGTTTATACATACATATTTATATCACCTGCCAGTTCTTTGTATAAAAATACAGATGTGATTATACTCATTTATAAAACAATAGGAATGTACCAGAACAATAGTGGTTATCTCTGAATAACTCCATTTTTTTTTCTTTATAGCTCTATTTAAACTGCTTTTATTTGGCAGTGGCGGTGCACTCCTTTAATGCCAGTACTTGGGAGGCAGAGGCAGGTGTATTTCTGTTAGTTCGAGGCCAGCCTGGTCTACAAAGTGAGTTCTAGAACAGCTAGGACTATTGCACAGAGAAACCCTGTCTCCAAAAACAAAACAAAACAAAACAAAAATAAATAAGTAAAAATCCATGCTTGTATACAATGCATTTTGGTCATTTTTACCCTCCATTACCCTGTCTCACCCCCTCCTACACCCATCAAATTCTTCTTAGAAGGTTAGTCTTTGAGATAGTTCATTGCTTGGTCAGCATGTTAGTTATCAATATTCTGACCACTTTTGCTTTGAACCAGACTCCTTTCCATCTCACTTCATGACCTTTTGTAAACTTGGAATACACAGCCACCTGCCTACGGCTGTCACCTGCTTCCCATCAGAGTTAGGATAACAGAATTGAAATGAGGGGCTGTGTGAGTGAGGCCATAGCATGGCTGTCCTAGTTCCTTTATACTTTCTTTCACTGTCCACAACCTTCATTTCCAGAGTGGAAGTAAAGTAGGAAGCCTGGTTACCACTGGGCCATTCTAGAAGAAAGCACATTTTGAGAGAAACTTGGGCAGGGAGGTCCAGTCACAAGGAGACTTTCATATGAGTCTTGCAGACAGACCTGTGTCTTGTGCTTGTGGAGACAGTCCTGTGGTGTGTAAAGCACAGCCCAGTTGCCTTGCCACAGACACTGGTGGGTAGTCAGTCATGATGGGACCCCCTTGGTTGAGATCACTTTGCTGTCCCAGTGACTGTGCCTTCTGTCCACAGGCAGGTCTCAGCCCTGGCCCTGGACACAGCGTGTGCATCATTGATGAGATTGGGAAGATGGAACTGTTCAGCCAGCCTTTCATTCAGGCAGTCCGCCAGACGCTGTCCACACCGGGCACTGTTGTCCTTGGCACCATCCCAGTCCCCAAAGGGAAGCCACTGGCCCTGGTGGAGGAGATCAGGAACAGACATGATGTGAAGGTGTTCAGTGTGAGTAAGCCAGCCCCTGGGGAACTCCTACCCTGTGGTCACATCCTAGCCTCCGCTGTCTTCCTCTTCTGCCTTCTGCTAGTAGCGGAGTAGTCAAGGCATGGTTTAAGGTGTTAGTTGGGGAAGGTCTGTCCAGGGAGGAGCCGTGGAACCAGAGCCACGCTCACATACTCAGTGGCAGAGCTCATCCCCCAACCCCAGCTGAAAGGTGTGTTTATGGGAAAATTAGTTACTCAAGCCTAGGCCTTAACTTTAGAGTTGCATCAATAAAAAAAATAAATCTGTGAAAAATTGGCAAAAGGTTCGAAAAGCTGTTTCTCCAAGGAGCATGAGGAAGCCACAGTCAGCACAGAGAAGACATGTACCCCACAAGCATGGTGACTGAGAGGTACCACACCATACCCTCTATGGAGGCCTTCCATGCTGTAGTTAGAGGAGAGGGATGGAAGGGCTTGGGGAAACTTCAGCCTCCCTTCCCTGTTGGTGAGAAGGAACTGAGCTATCCCTGGGAAAACGCTCTGGTTTCTCAAGGAGTTGTATGCTAGTCACTATTCCAGCAAGTCCACTTCTAGGCATTCACACAGAAGACTTGAAGACAAAGCTTGAATGAATGACCACAGCAGCTTTGTTCACAATACCTGACAGAATGAGAGGGACCCAGGCATCCACCAGCAGCTGAACGGATGTCTAATGTGTGCTCTAGCCATCTAGTGTGGTGTTACTTAGTGACACAAAGGAATAAAGCAAAGCCACATTCTGAGGCCTAGATGAATGCTGTATTATGATGAGTGAAAGAAGCCACTCACAGAAGGTCACAGGCTCTACGATTCCATTTATAGAATATCCACAAGAGGCAAGTGCTTTGAGACAGGAAATAAAGTGGTGATTGCTAGGGATGGGCAGGAAGGGAGGAGGTGGCTGTGAATGGGAGCCCTGTCTGTGATGAAATGTTCACTTCTAATCCTTAGAGGGTGAACTTTCATGGCATTGGAATTGCATTTCAGCAAGGCAGTTTGCACACATATGCACACAAAAGTCAAAGCCATGGTGGCACCCTTTTTCCTTTAAGACTCATTGACATACCCTGTAAATGGTGATGTCCAGCCCACTCCCTACCTAGGTGCTGCTGGCCTTGCTGCATGCTAGCATGGCAGAAGATATCACATGCAGAGACATGGTGAGTGTGCTTGCTCGGGTCTCCTTTTTACAAACACTGGTTGGTGATGTGACTCTAGAGTCTATGCCCAGCATACACACCTTGTGTTCCATGCACAGCACCCTCATCAACAGCTGTTGTAGCACAAGCCTGTAATCCCAGCTCTCAAGAGTGGGTGCGGGAGGATGGGAAGTTCAAGTTTGTCTTCAACTATATAGTGTTTAGGCCCAGCCTGGGATGCATAAGACCCTGTTGCAAAATAATAATAATAATAAATTTTAAAAAAGTAAAAATAAACAAGCCACCACTGCCATCATATGGGCCCTGCCCTCGGGACACCCTTTCAAAGCCTCTTCAAATACCTTTAACTCATGGAATTGCAGGCGATAAGATTTTGACTCAGGAACTTTGAGGGATGTGATGAAACCTACAGTGGACAGAGACTTCTGCTCATATCCACGCACTCACTGAAGTGTCCGGGCACACTCCTCTCTTTGATTCTTGGCACTGCTGCCTATCTGAATACCATCCATCACCTGACCAGCTTCTGCACAGGCTTTCTTCCCCTGGACTCCTGTCTGCAGCCCTACCCAGCCTGCACTGCCTTTTCAGGAGTCTTCCCCCAAAGGACCTGCTATACTCCTTGGCCTTCTTTATGTCCTTCCTATTGTGGTCTGTGAGTTTATAACCTCAGGGTCCTTATCTGCAGCTCACACCAGGTCAAGAGGCTCTCAAGACTCTGTACCACACATCACCCTGTCCTCTCTGCCTCCCTTCATCAGTCAGAGGAGCAGAAAGCTGAGGTCAGAGGCTCCTTGCAGCACTCAGATTCTCCAGGGTCATGAAAAGGCGTGTAGATGTCCTTCCCGGAGTTGTGGGCAGCTGCTACTGTGTGCTGCTCTCCAGGGCTCAGGTCCAGCCCAAGCCCCTCTCTCTTGCACTCTCTCCCATCTCCATCTGGTGCCTCCGGTGCCTCCGGTGCCTCCCGTGCCTCCCAGGCCTTTAGCCATGCACTCCACATGGGACTTGGTGATCCCAAAGATTCCCTGCTCTTGAGGAAGCCTTGGCTCAAAGCACTGGAGGGCAATGCTCTGCTCTCTAAGCTTGTTTTCTTGTGTCTTCCCACAGGTCACCAAGGAGAACAGAAATAGCCTCTTGCCGGATATTGTGACCTGCGTGCAGAGCAGCAGGACCTGAAGCAGCCCGTGACCAGGTCCAGCTCTGCCTGCTGGTCGCTGCCTGCCCAGGTCTGCTACCACACTATCAGTGGGTTTGTACCCTCTGCCCAAGAGAGCTGGACAGCTGCTTTCCATAAAATGCTCATGAGATCAGGCTAGCCCAGTGCCTGCTGGGCCATGCACAGTGAACAGTCCACCATGTCTTACTGTATGCTCAAGGGTTCTGTCCATTTCCGGTTGCAATTGTGCCTGTGATTTGAGTAAATTCTAAATGAATGTGTCAGGGATCAGTGGAATTTGCCCGCTTTGGGGTTTATAGATGTGTTCAGGGCTGGGGAGGGAGTTTGGTTCTTCATTGACTTTACGTGCTGTGATATTAAATACCTCTCCAGGTGCAGCTCCAACTCATGCGGCTGAAAGCAGTAACAACTTGATTCTCTCCAGTTATTTCCAAAGAAAAGCACATTAGTTCTCCTCTTTCATCTCTTGTTTATTCCTTTGTTTATTGCCTAATAAAAATGGAAATAAATCTGGTGGTTTCGGACACAGTAGTGTGCCTGTGGGAGGGACAGTTTTCAGAATGCTGGTGTCAGCTGATGTTCCACACATGAGCAAAACCTCCTGTTTGTGCCGAGTTAGCCTGCCTGGGCACAGTTTTCAACCACTCTGAGTCCAAATGCCCTTCCAAGAAAGAAAGGGACATGACTATCACCAGAGAAGGATTTTGGAAGCTGCCTTGAACTGCAGTCTCCACTGGCTCCTCTGTGAGTCCCACTGCACTCTAGAGCACTAAGAAAAAGAATCAACTATGGAAACTGCTATGTCCATAAAGGCCAGGAGCTACTAGAACTTTTGGGTCCTTTAGATATTGTTTATCAGCATTAATGACAACACCACTGATGTTGCTGGGACCCTTGCTGGGACCATGAACACATATGGGCCTGTATTAATGGAGGTGCTTGTGAGCTGGGCACTAGGACCCAGTGGAGACTGTAGTAAGCCTGTGCCTGGGGCAGGATCTCCTCCTGTTGGTCTTCCTCCTAGGGTAGTTTTCAAAGCTCCAGCTGGAGAAGTAGGTGCCTCCCTCCATCATCTATGCCTTTAGGCTTTTCAAAGAGGCCAAGTATAGAGCTCATGGCTTTGGGCAGGCTGGCTGTGATGCCAGCAGTGGGTACCAGGGAAGGTGGGACACAGCATAGGTTTGGGCCATAGCATCAGTGCACCTGGTCACTTAGGACCTGAATGTATCTAGTCAAAAGTTGCTACACAGCCTGGCCCTGTCAGGGAGCCCTGCTCAGCCCTGTGAACCTAGAATAAAGGAAGCAGGTAGGAGAAATGGTGGTGGTGGCAGCATGCTCCTCCTAGGCCAAAGGGGACCTCACGTTGGCATCTTACTTCGTCCCCCAAGTTGTGTGCACTTGTAATCTGCTCCTGCAGATGCAAGAGGATGTTGAGTTCTGGGTCAGCCTGGTCTACATAGGAAAACATTGTCTCATAAAACAGTTTTAAAATATCACAGCTATGGTAGATGGAAGACTTGGACTCAAGTGTGAGTGGTGTCAGATCCTTTGCTTATTCTATGCTCCCTTTTGTGTCTTCATCTAGGCTCCCTGTCATCTTGTGAACCGCATGCTTAGACCTCACCCTCATACTGACATGTAATTGTACAAAGTGACACGTCCTTCAGTGACCACTGCTCTGACAGATGAGAGTCAGGGTCAGGGTACACAGATTTCAGATGCAAATCCTGGCACTGTAAGGAATGTCAATGAATGGGGCACTGGGGTCTCTAATGGAGTTGGATGTGAGTCCTGACTTGAGTTCATGTTGCAAAAGCACATTGATAATATAACCGCAGAAGCAGTTCAGCCAGGATGGCATGGTACCACAGCATGACGGAACACTAACTGGACAAAGACTGCCGGTGCCCTTGCTGCCTCCCACTTGCCACGTCACACCAGCAGCCTCTTCTCACCCGGTGCTTTGAAAATCCTTTCCTTCTTGTCTCTGTATGAATGTAAGCTCATGTGTGGAGGTAACATGGCCTTTAAATAGATAATAGAGAATGCCCCAGGCTCTACTGGTGGATGGAGAGGCTTCCAGGAAAAACTGCAAATTCATGGAAGGTTCTGGGAACAGTGAGGTGACCCTGTCCTCCTCCCATCAAGACAGGTGTTCAAAGAGGATGGGGTTGACCTGTATGTGCCACCTGTTCACACTGTAACACAGGGACTTGGGACAGAATGGCACCAAGTGGGAAGTGGCTGCCTAAACAGACTGTGCCACCCGTTTCAGAGGCAGAGACCCTGGAACAGCCACTGATTTTAGACACTTGTGTGCCGGGCATGAACACTACAGCACATGGCAGGATTTGGAGTTGGTGCCTAATTAGCCATGATATAGGCACAGCCAAGTGTTGCAGTTGTTACATTATCTTTAGGAGAGAAATGCTTTTGTTCAGTGTCAAATGCATTTAGACAGATGTCAGCAGAACATTTGAGCCACCCTGGCAGGAAGTGCCATAGAGGCCTGTCTCATATACCACCACCAGAACAAGGAAGGCTCTAGGATGCAGGGCTGCCTACTGGGAGGACCTGAGCAACATATCTACATAAAAGTTCAATAATTAAAACCAAGCATTACAAATCCTCTCCCCCCCCCCAACCCCCAGGGCTCACAGAACCCTACAGAAGAGCAAGCAGAAAGAGTGTAAGACCCAGAGGGCATGGGGACACCAAGAAAACAAGGCCTTCTAAATCAATGAGCAAAATTCCTATGAACTCAGAGACCGAGGCAGCACACAGGGCCTGCAGGATTCTGCATCCATCCTCTACATATGTATATGGCTTCCAGTTTACTGCTTTGATAGAACTCCTGGGCGTGTGAACAAGGGGTGTCTGATCCTTGTGTCTTCCCCTGGGCTGCTTCCTTCTGTTTTGTACAATTCTTATGTGTTTTTGTTTTATTTTATTATCCCTTATCTGTTTTATAATGAGAGTCAGAAAGGGAATGGCTTTGGATGAGAGGGAAGGTAGAGGAGGGGAAACCATAATCAAGATATATTATGTGATAAAACATCTATTTTCAATATTTAAAAAAGAGATCAGAGATGTAACTCAGCGGACAGAGGTTTGCCTAGCGTGAGCAAGCCTTGTGCTCCGTCCCCAGCACCACATAAACTAGGCATGGTGGTGCACACCTGTAATCCCAGCAATCAGGGAGTAGATCCAGCACAATCAGAAGTTGAAGGTCATCCTTGGCTACGTAGCAAGCCTGAGGTCTGCTGGGCTGCATGAGACCCTATTTCCCATCCTTCCCCACATTATAAACAAAAACCTAGGATCATAATCTTAGTATTCTTCAACAGCTTCAAGGAATCTTTCCTTGGTGGGGTTGGTGTACATGTCCACTTCTCAGCTTGTGCACCCAGTGCCTGTATTCCTCCATGGGCAGGAGCCTGTACAGGACACCGTTCATGAGCCTGTCTAGATACGTGAGCCTGGTACTCACTTCTTGCAGTCATTCCGTGCCAGCTGGGTTTCTGTCCCTCAGAGAACTTCCTTTTTGTGGATGCCAAGCAGCAGCCAGCTGTGCTTCCAGGCACACGTTGTTTCTCACCAATTACAAGTAGAAGCTGCACCTCCAGCTCAGAGCTAACCAGAATGTTGGCAACTGATTCAAGGGAATTCTTGAAGGGGCTAGCCAGGTTTGCTTTAACCTGAGAACAGCCACAGGTTACACAAGCTTCTCAGATACACAGCTGCAAAGAACCCAAAACCACTGTTTCTAGAGGTTTTCAAGGGATGCCCTGTCTCTGTTGATAGACACCACCTACTGCCATTAATTGCTAATTCTTTCTTGTGCCTATGTATGTACTCATGCTTGTTGGTGTCAACAGGCCTCGGTGCATATGTGGTCACAGGGCAGCCTCTGCTGTCAGTCTCCTACCCCAAGATGGTGTGTTGATTGGCCATGCTAATGCTTAAGAAATAGGAGATGATAGAGACATTGCTCAAAAGAGTGCTTGCCTGGAAAGCATGAGAGCCTGAGTTTGGTCCCAAGGGAGTGACACACCCTTGTAATCTGGCACTGCAGAGGACACATGGGTGACTCACTGGCCATCTTGGCCTGATCTGTAAGCACCAGGATAGCAAGAGGCTCTGCCTCAATGACTAAGGGAGGAAGCCCCTGTGGGATGATATATGAGGTTATCCTCAGGCCTCTACATACATACATACATACATACATACATACATACATACATACATACATACACACACTGAGAGAGAGAGAGAAAGAGAGAGAGAGACTCCATTACTACCTCCTTCCTAGTGAGTGGTGAGGGACTGCCGTATCCACCCTTTGCAGCTCCCATCTTAGATGCTTTGGAGACTAGATTTTGCCTAAACCGAGAACTTACTTCTTTTCCCCACTGCCATTCTAGAAGGCAAAGCCAGTGAGTGATACCCACCTCTTTTCAGCAGGAGTTTGTGCCTCTGCTCTTTCCATGTTTAAGTATCTGAGATAAGATTTGCCTCCCTCTCCACAAAAGTCTTTCACAGAGTGAAGAAGATGTTTAGGAAGGACAGCAGACACACACAGCCATAACTGTAAACATTTTAATTCCTAAAACAAAGGGTGTGCAAATGTGCTCATGTACAGTAGAGCTTTCTCAGCTTGGAAGACGAGCATGCATTCCTGGGAAGCACGCAGGGGTCCTGAGTGGCCCTGAACTTGAGGGAGGAGCATATTGCCTCTAAACTCTCACCCTGGACCAATGCACCATCAGGCTGTTGCTAGTGACTTGCACTTCCAGCTGTGCAAAGGTTATAAAGAATGAGGCTCTTTCCAGTTGGGCTTAACCTGAATGACTATGGCCTGCTGATGGCCTCAGGAGCTGTGACTCAGTGCTCTCTCACGGTGGCAATAATGTGTAAAATGCCAATAATTTAGCATGCAGCTGTTCTAATGTTACCAGGACAGGAAGGAGCCAGTCATGGGCTCTACTCATTCTAGTTGTTTTAAGATATAACATGGCTTTTGTGAGAAATGTCTAACTCTTGTGCAGTGCTTGCGGGAGGAGGTGCAATGTCTTCTCCCGACCCCCACTATGTGAGAGTGTTTTCAAGAACCTGAGATAGAGTTAAATTGTTTTCTAGAATAGCTCTTCTTTTCCCCCAGGAAGAACCATGTGGTTTTAGAGCAGGGAGAGTCCCCATCTCTGCAACCAGGCATGTGTTCCACTATTGCTCATCGGAGGCACTCTGCTGGGAAGCTGTGTCATCCAGGCCCATGTCCTCCTGGCTTGCTCTCCGGCACAGCACCCCCAGGGTCTCTGCCACAGCCCCTGTCAGCCGTCGACCTTGAAGCTGCCCTTGCTCTGGGGTATCAGTGGGTTCACATGGCTCAGAGAAGTGCTTCAAAAAGGAAAGAAACAGTGACAGATTAGCCTATGCTCACTGCCTGAGTGTCCCAAGTCACCCCACCTATCACCCTGACATCAGAGGAGGGAGGCCAGGGTGGCTGCAT